TGCAAAGCAGATTTGGGAGGTGATTAGGTTACAGAGATTGAAGTGCAGGGGAGCTGTGAGGGGGAGGGGGGGGGGGGGTTGTTTTGATGTCACTATCTACAGTCGGTTACTCGTGGCAAATGCACAGCGTGTGCACAGCTCGGCACTTCTCTGTAACGGATGTGGCGCGCTGTAAAGATCCAAAGGATCCAAAGCACACACGCACTGATGTTTCATTGTTCAGTCAGCACTGCTGTCATCGCTGCGTCTTTATTCAGCGCATCGCAAACCGCGCTTCACCCCCTTCCTCACCCACGAATTGATGATGATATCGAGATAAAGCAGAATCATAGTCTGTCTCTCCTACTTGCATTCATTGTTAGAGAGAAGATGAGAAAGAGGAGGTGGAGGAGGAGGATGGATGGATGTTGCCTTTATGTGCGAGTGGCTGAGAAATCCTAATTTGTGGAGACATTGTTATGTGTCCTCATGACTGTATTTTATGTTCATTCCCACTTTCTCAAACTCCCCTCATCCTGTCATCCAGAAGCAACACAGTTTGACATTTATTCTTTAATTACACACACACACACACACAGACCCTTGTTTACCAGAGGCCATGTACAGCACACATGCAAGTTTGATTAGTGCAGGGTGCAAAGCAGATTTGGGAGGTGATTAGGTTACAGAGATTGAAGTGCAAGAGAGCTGTGAGTGTGATGGAGGAGGGGGGCTGGAGGGTCGAAGGAGAAAGGTCAGAGGTTGCGTCACTCAAGCTTAAACTATGAAGAAAAGTGCCTCATTGTTTTCATAACAGCCTCAGTCAGTGGCTTTAATTAGCAGTTAACAACAATCTTCATCTTCCCCATCCTGGCACTTTCTCATGTGATAAGCAAAGCAGAGAAGCAGATTCTTTCTTGCTAAAATAAGTTACAGAGCAACACAGCTCCTTCCTGTTTGTGTTTAATGTTCTCCCAGAGTGATACTAACCATTTCTGGAATGTTTCTCCCCGTGTGTGTCTGTGTGATGTAGCGTGTGCAGCGAGGCCGTAGCATACTTCTTGTCTCTGACCTCAGAAAGCCACAGAGAGGCCTGGACCAACCTGCTGCTGCTCTTCCTCACCAAGGTGCTAAAGATCAGTGATGAAAGGGTGAGGAGCCGAAAAAAACACTCTGACGCCTTTCCTGACACGTGCAAGATCATTTACAACTAGGTCTGATTTCCAGAAGTAACAGACGGGCCAGTTAGTCCTCAGTTTAGACACTTTTAGAGTTTCTTATCACACTTTTAACATCAGTGTAACGAAATGCGAGGTATATTCAAATCATCATCCACTTTTAAAGCTTGTTGCATTCGTAACGTGTTTGCAGTTGTGCACTGATTCAACTTTGTGGTTTACCATCGCTGTGTTTGAGGTGTCCTGTTACACTATTTGAAGTGATGCCTGACAGCCAAACAGAGACCGACTAAACAGAAAAAAGCTTTTTTTCGTACAAGTGCATTTCCACCATTGAATATTATGTTTATTCTACAAAAAAATGTTGCTGTTTGTCACCTACAGCCATTTTGTACCAAATAACCAGCATATAATTATGATTTAATTGCCTTAAAGTGTTTCATTATGTCTTTGTAGCACCAAGACATTGGGTGTCTCTGTCTTTGTCTCACTCTCTCCGTCTCGTCCCACAGTTCAAGGTGCATGCGTCCAGATACTACCCTCTCCTGTGTGAGATCATGCAGTTCGACCTGATCCCCGAGCTGCGGGCTGTCCTAAGAAAGTTCTACCTGCGCATCGGCTTCGTGTTTCACATCGCGCAGCTGCCTGAGCCCGAACCGGAACCTCAGCCGCCACACATTGAGCAGGAGGCGGACACAGAGGCCGGGGAGGAGGCCTAGTTGATGCTGCACCACCAACATGACCAGCCTCGAACACAGAAGCCCCCACTGAGGCCTCCGCCTCAGATCTGTGCGACTGCGCTGTGGCTCCGTGTCACCTCAGGACCCTCCACAGGGTTTACGCCTGACTTAAACAGCTGATGATCAGTCGGCTATCTGCTACCACCCACCCGCACCCTTAACCCTGTCACCACACACCCACACAGACACGCCTATTCACACAAACAGCCCCAACAGAGTACTTGATATCACGGTGAAAACGGTAATGTCTCGTACAAGGTGTAGCGATGCCTCCGCTGGATACAACTACTGATTAACAACTGACAGTTATCCATATCTCTGATCTGCTCAGAAGGAATATATTTCAAATGATGTGTGCTTCTTACTGTATATTTAAAAGGTAAAGAATGAATGGATTCAACAACATGCAACAGGACATATTTAGTAACTATGAAATGTGACATTTGTCACACATTGATAGTAATGACCGTTCTGTCTGCACATGGCTAACATTAGCATTGGTAGCCTCTTGGATGAAACTAGTTGTACAGATCTGCCGCTGTGTAATATAATCTTATAACACTAGATTTCATTTATTTTTCTTTATTTTTCTTTTTTGTTTCCCTCCTCTGGATTTGCTGCACTTGATCTCTTTTTTGAATGCACTGGAGATTTTACTTTTGTGATAATTTATTTGACTGTACCATCTCCCGCAGAGTGTCCTATACCGTACGATTTGTAATTGAACATGAACGTGGAAAATTAAGGGTTAAATTATTCCATTTTATATGTTCTTAGGTTTTTATCGGAGATGGATGATAACTGGGCTTCTGAAACTGGAAGATAAGAGAGCCACCTGACGCTAGCTGCTTTTGAGTCACTAGTCTGTTTTCATGTTCGAGTTTAGTTTTCACTCATGTGTACAAAATCAAAAGTTAATAATATATTTAATGTTTTTTTTTCTTTTTGGTTTGCGGGAAAAGGTATATGTATAGAGAAAATGACAAATGTTAGCTGTGCTTTAAGTATGAATGGGATGCATTCCTGCTCATGGATGTAGAAAACAAAATGTATATGATACAGCAATGTAAAGTTTTCTATGTTGCAAAAAAGATTATGTACAACTTTCTGTACAATACATCATCTGGCATTCTAATCAGGTTCTAGGTCAATAAAGTTTTTGAACTTGGTTGATTTGAAACGCTGAATCACTGACTTCTAAATGACAGAACTGCAAGCGGTTTATTTTTCTCCTTTAATGATCAGCCAGGGCCACATTAATATAACATTTTATTATAAAATAAACCATCATATGTCTAACAAAAATAACTACATTAACACATGTTTATGGTGTATTCACAGACATTTACCTTCCAAAACTCTCATGGACTAAATCTGTTGCAGGTTAAAAAGTGCACTTTGTTGGTGTCTTATGTAAGATGGTTCTTGTCTAACTGACATTAATGTGTAATGTAACAAACACCCACAAATAACATGTTGGTCAGCAGAAAGTGATTCCAGCATCACACAGCAACAAAGTTGATTCTCGGGAGAGCCGTCCAAGGAAAGGGGGAGCTCCCCTCACTCGTTTGGAGACCAGCTAATGGGAGCTATGAGACGCGGTGTGTCAGCCAGGGCGGAGCATCCATAACACTGTTTGGTCTCTCCAAACAGCCGGCGCGTTCCACAGTATCCGACGTGCCGGGCCGCAGCCAGGCCTCTGTGGCAACAGTGTCCATTGAGACACGCCTCTCCAGGGCAGAACGTAGAGACAAGACATCCACTTCATCACCAGACGGCCCCTCTGGAGAGGACGTAGGAGTACTTCATCCATCACACATTGCTTTAGGCAATCAGAAAATAAAAGATGCCTAAAATTTTGCAATTACAGAATTCTGTCTCAATTTTGTTGAATAAATGAAAAGGCAAGACACGTGTGTCAGAAATCTGGCAAAAAAATATAATAAAAGTTGGTTAAAAGCCATCTTAAATATAAATGACATGCTCTTTATTTAATCTGTTACTTTACCAGTGCGAGATGAGACACAGAGATATTATGGGCATCGCTGCTCAAGTCTTTCTGTGGACCGAAACTTTTTCACGCACCCACTTGCCAGACTTGTTACGCTTTTGTTATATTAGCATCCGTATATGTATATAAATATTAGGGTATTTCCTCTCACCTGATCTGCCGTCATGATCGCCAGTGTTTTGTCTCCTGATGCGGTGCTGGTTGTGAGCACTGAATTTGGATTCAAGGTGCAAACTAGTCACTGACTGCAAAGACTGATCTATAGACACAGCCCCGTCCTGTACAAAACAGATCAGAGGGAAGAGAATGACCACAATTCTCATCAATTTAACGTTGTAAAATTAGAAAACTAGTCTCTACTCTCTAGTAATACCAAAGCAAACAAAATAATTGATTTACTGCTCAGCACCATACATCATAGTCACGTCTCCTCCTTGAGGTGGTTCTCTCGTGGCGCTCTGCTGAGGGCCGACGGTGTCTCTGTTGATGAACCTGCCCCTCATGTGCATCGCCACTGTAAACACCTGACAAAGCCATTCATCTTTACACACAAGCCTCTTCTTGCGGAGATTAAAGTCCTAAAAGTTCACTCAGTTCAAATATGTGTAACATGAAAATAATATTCATTCCATTCAAGAAAACTTTTTCCTGGAAAGGGGTTCGGATGGAAAAGGGTAAGTCTTTTGAAACAATGTCTCTACTGCCCCCGTTCCCAAATGGCTGGCACTGTGCTATCTCCACCCTGCAGCTGGCATGTGCCCCTTGCACCCAGCGTTGGCACCAGCTGCAACACAGAGACATGAGCTGGCATGGGCCACAATTAGCCCGGCACGGAGACACAGAGCTGAATTATCCTGGCGCAGAGGCTGTTGTAGTGTGGTATTGTGAGGGGGCGTATGTAGCTGACTTCCCCAGCCATGTCACCTTTATGGAAAATGTCTGGAGCCTCAGAAAAAGGAAAGAATCCAAAAGCATATTGTGTCCCCCACTGTAAACACGTTCTTCATACTTGAAAGAAGAAGAAAAAGGGAACAGAGGCAGTCTTAACAAACAGATTATATTTAGTCAGGCTTACCAATAAAAGCAGCCTCAGATGGCAATATGGAGTCTCTCTGGGTGTAGCGTCCAGGTTTGTTCCTCTGAGAGAATAAATAAACACAGGCACCAATTAACTTAAAAACATGCAAGATGTACTCGACTAGCCTGTCACAATAAAATGCACATTAATTATGTGATGAACACTCACAGAACGACAGTGGCTCAGTTGCTGTTCCAAAACGTCTGCAGGGAAACACAGAACAATGAGTTAAAGAGCACAACAGGAGACATTTGAGTGCGTGTCTGCCCACTGACCGTGCTCCTCCTCTCTCTTCATCAGCCTGATTTTGCGTCGTTGTTCACGGAGAAGTGCCTGCTGTTGGATGTCCAGACTTTGTTCGTCAGTCGGAGGGTCGGGGTACATGTGACGGACCTCCTCACGAGATGCTGTGTCTGACAAATAATGGATAGCTTTTGTCCCAATGAGGTATTTGTCCTACAGTAGCAATCAAGTGGCGTTCGTCGATTGATGCAGCAATAACAGTTGCATTAGCACAGAAATAAATGAGAAAGATAAGGTCAGGAGGCAGAGACTGGAGGAAGACATTAGAAGAGAAACTAACAATTTCCCCTTCATTACAGTCCCCCTCTTCCTCCACTCTGAAACAGCAACTTGGTTGTGACTCAGCAGATCCACAGGCTGGATACATCCTCCTCACTAAAGCACATCCTATCAAGGTTTGACTGTACAGAATGGATCTGATGCGGCTTTCAGATGTAAGATTGCCATAAATCCATCATTTATATCTAGAAGTTTGACAAGTGATTTGGTCAATTCGTCACAGACTAGCATTTCTTCATATTTTTGTTTTGTTTTACAAGCTGGAGCTCTGAGTGTCTTTCAGACTCCTGCATTAACTCGGTCTGGGAACCAATCCAAAGCCATTTCCTTGGTCCCTTGCATTACATTCTCTGTGTATGCCGCCAACTGTCACTCATGGACGCCTCCCATGACCTCGTGAGATTAAAGTTTCGGGGTGGCTCGGGGGAGACAGAGGACTAATGAAGCTCTAGAAAGTCTAAACCATCTGGCAATGCCCAGCTGGTTTAGGACCGCAGTGTTCTTCGACTCTTGTCCTTACATCGGCACCATGACCAAGGCAATTAGAGGAGGGTTTTTTTAATCACTTACTTAAAGTTAGAAAAACATACAGAGTACAGAAGGAAAGTAAGCAGAGTCCAACTGGTTTAAATTCAATGAGATAAACTGATTTGTCATCAGAGGATCATATTCTTGGAGGAGCAATATTTCAATTTCACAAACCAGTAACCACTTTGAAAAGTCTGACTGCAGTTTCTACGTGTATTGTACGATCTTTTCTTGCTGTCATGACTTGTGACTTCTGGATCATATAGAAGACGCAATTGAGGCAAACAGATTGCACAGAAAACTGAGTGACCTAAGGGTGATCTGATTAGTAAGAACAAATGTTGCTTCTTAATATAAAACCAGTGTTCAATCAGTCAACGTGTCATTACCTCTGTATTTAAGCTGGTTGAACTCCCTGATATGTTGCATATTAACACCTGCAGCACCAGAGAAAGGACTCCTGGTTGATGGCTGGACAACTTGCTTGTGCATTGATTCAAAGGTCCCTCTGGGTCGTCCTCTGGGTCTGAGCAAAGGAGGAAAAGATGAAAATGTACCAATAATTCACCATCCCGAATGCTTTTCAGTTGTGCACAATGACTACAGCATTAAATACACTTGATACACTGGCCCTCGTAGGTTAGGCCAGATTCAAAAAGAGTTAAGTGAGTATTGTTTTAAAAAAAAGTAAGGACTCAACAAATGCTTTTAGGAGGCCTAAAGAATGGGGCTTTCTGTGTAAGCAGAACCAAAGAAAAACGGTGACACTGGCACAAGTTCAAATGAATGTCTCTGATGATTTTCAGTAAACTAATTTGAATACAAGCAGATACTCTACAAGTAGCTTGTAGTACAGTCCTGCCCGTTTTGGGGGTGGAACTGCCACACATACTATGTCACATGACCTTTTCAAGGTGGATGGTTAGAGGTAATAAGCATGCCACGTGTGCTGCTGAGGTGTCGTTCCCTGCTGATCTTGTAAGGTGAAGACGGATGAAAAGAAAATTTCCACTTGGGATCATACTGTTACATTAGTGCAGTGATGAGTCCCTGAAACAAATCTGAATGGAGATTAGAAGATAGCCAATTTGACCTGGGTCACTTTCATTAACTCAGAACATGAGAGAGCCTACTTAAATACAAATAGCAAATCAAGCCATTTAACAAGTCACAATTAGCATTGTGTCTTAACCTTAATGTGACTGGGGGTGTTTTAGGTCAAATTGGACCTGAAGGGGTAGAGCACGTCGAATAGGTTCTCTAAATGGCTCATTTTTTTAGCCAGGAAGAAAGTAATAAAATCCTATTAGTTAGGTAGACCGACGCAAATGACCCTTGCTGTTCAGGGAGGTCTGACTGTAATACCTGTTGGAGGGAGTGTCGGGACTCTCCTGAAGATCTGTCTGGCCAAGTTGGACCTCCAGTTGTCTCTGCTCATTTCTCAGATACTTACGGAGGGCCGACAGCTCTCTGATCACTTCCTGCTGACCGTCTGAAACGACCAGAGGGAGAGAGGGGAGACAGGATGGGGACAATAAATGATTAAGTGGCAATTTCTGATTTACAAGCAGGTAGACATTTGAGAGTGACAGAGAGTGATACCTTGTAGCGGGGAGATTTCCTCAGGGACTGGTCGGTAATCTGCCGCTGACACAGAGCGCTCCTGTTGTGGAAATTGTGGGCATTTTGACGTTTTAGATTTACATTAAAAGAGTCTTGACTTGAAAATATGTGCATCCGTTTCCTGCGTGACTTACAGTCCTATCGGTGAGTTGGCTCTCAACAGACGACGGTCTGGATGCAACAGGATTTGTCTGCTTCCTCTGCAAGGTTGGGATGGGAGGAGATGGCTCTCTCTGCTAATTTACGAGCAGAGTCACATTACTTGACAGAGGTGTTAAATAAAACTGGAAGCTACAATCACCAATGTCTTTTCAGGCTTACTGTACCTCGTAACTCAACTGCGCCTTTTTCTCCTCTCTGTCCCTGGCGCTCCCAGGTACCTTCTTCTCAGTCTCTTCTTCCTGTCTCACCCTCTTTTCCTCCTGCCGGTGTTGTGTTTTAGGTTGTTGGGTCAAATCTGCTTTTTTCAGCTTATGCTACAGAGAGTAAAGACAATTGTTTCTCAATGGCAAGCCCAGCAGTGTGAGGAGACCCCTTACGTGGCAGGAAGGGGGAATAAGAGATGTGCTCTTCATCAAAGAGATGAACTCCTCACATTAATCATCATTTGCTTTCTTAGCTCCTCTTCATGATCTTGCTGTATGCGAGCCCTTTGGTCCGCCAGCCTCTTCTCTTCTTTCTCCTCCTCAATCCTCATTCGTTCTTTCTCCTCTGTCTGCTTTTGCTTGTTTTCCTCTATCTGTTGGTAACGACAAGTTATATGTGTAGTTACTTACAACTTCTTCAAAGTGCTCAAAACTACTGAAGTATTTGGAAAACAATTTAAAAAAAAGTAATTCAAAAGTAGAAGAGACATCCGAGCAGTTACCTGCGTAGACTGAAGGTTGTGGCCCAGGACCTACCTGTTGTTTCAGGTCTTCTTTGTATCTGTCCTGCATGTGGAGCTGCTGTGGACTTGGCTTGTCTTTGAAACCTGCAATGACAAGTGAGCTAGACAGTAATCCGTCTATAATAAAGACCAATGTGTGCAGGTGCACACACAAATGCTCAATACACTGGATGACAGGAGCCAGTTAGGGACTCAGAGAAAATGAACACTACCTGATCGTCGATGGGAAAGGGCAGCCCTGCCTTCATCTACCGGAGTGTTTCCATCAGTCATCAAAAAGCTTTGAGTCTGTCCACTTTTCCTGGACACAGGATTCCGACATGACTCCTCGTTGTTCCTGTGCATTTGTTTCAAGTCACCTGAGGGCATGGAAACATTTACACGTACCTAAAACAAGCTGTATTATTATTTATTTATTACATGTATTATCTCAAGTTTAGTAGACCTCATTAAAAGAGAAAGTGAAATCCAACTTACTGACAAGGTTGCCTTTTTCGTCTTTAATTGAAGCACCTCCTCCACTTCTCCCCCAGGGGTTGTACGCCATCATCTCGGCCTCTATCTTAGCATCAAATCGCTCCTTCTCTTCTTTCTCTCTTCTTTTACGCTCCTCTCTTTCTATGATCTGGACACAAGGCAGGCAAGATGTTTCAAAAGTTGATTAACTTTGTCTTATAGTCTAGCTACAACACAATTCTTTGCCCATGGGAAAATGCTAACTGCACCATGGTCTAACTGTCCCTAAAATGAGTCAATGTCTGAGTTTCCTCTGGTGTCAGCATGGAGGAAGCAGCCTGTTACAGCAATCATTAGCATGTCAGTCTGGCTACCAGAGCTGGAAGGTGGGAGAGAAAAGACACTGCCCCAAGTACTCCTTGGTTCCAAACGGTCATCACTGATTTGTGAAGTTAGTTATTATTTATGAAATATATGAAAGCATGGGGTAGCAGCCAGGTGTTGTAAACATTCGGGGCTCACTGCTCCACCCTTGGCAAATCAGATGATATCTTGTAGATCTGATGTCATACCTGCTGTCTGAGTGCCTCCTGGTGGCTTAGTGCCTTCGATATCCTCTGCTTGGACCGGTCTGCAGAAAGCTCTCCGACATCCAGGGGTGACGCGCTGTGCTGCTCAGTTGCTCTCGGAGCCGACAGCGAGGGGGCAGACACACAGTTATTTTGCCTTGAGGGCCCTCTTCTGGAAGAAAAACGAAAAGTCTCCATGACCATCTACTTATGTAAAAGCTCTCACACTCTGAAAATTCATTTTCACTTTTCACAAATTTTGAAATTGTTTTAAATTGTTTACATTGAATTCATCATGTGGATAAATAAAGTACTCTTGCAAAAATGGACACTGACTCAGTGTGGCCATTGGGTCTGAAAGTAGGGGGTCTTTGAGGAGGACTGTGGTTCCCAGACTGATGCATCCCTCCAGGCAGACCATCTGATAAAGAAAATGCAAAAAATACAAGATGATGAATACAAACAGCTATCTGCTGCCACAGTCTGACGGATTTGTGTTCCAACATTACAATATTTGGTGAGATCAGACCTGGGCCGGAATTTGGCTGCAAACTTAAAATGGAAAGAAAATAAATGTAACCAAACACACCCGCTGGATGAAGTGAGATCCATCTGGATCTGCTGAACCCATATCCAATAAACTGTATGTCCCCTTAGCAATAAAATCAGTTCTGCTGTAAAATGAGATTTATGAATTGCTATGCCAAGTCCTCTTGGCCATTGATAGGGCGATGAAGTGGCTCCATAATAAATGGCAATAGTTCTCTTCTGTGAGGTCAGGGAGTTTATTTAAGCTGATGTGAATCTCTCCCATCTAAGGTCAAACGGACAGATACCGCAAGTTACTTTACGACTCTGAAGACGCTAGAAACAGGAATGACTGTGGACCATCCCAATAGTTTAGTACAAATATGCATACTTTACATTACTGCTGACCTTTTCCCAAAGCATCTTGCATTGTTTCACCTTCAAGAAGCCACTGCTTTCCATTCATTTCAATACAATATGAAAATCAACTTGCAGAGAATTGAACCTTAAGATGCAGTAGCCAAAAATAAAATAAAAACAACATGAAGATGGTTAAAATACTGTACTGGGATTGTAAGGAAGATTAAGATCTAATGGATTCCTGGTCCCATAGTAGTAGTAAGCGGCATCATATGGAGTCTTGTAGTTATTAGTTACAGCGGGAGGAACAGGAGGAGGAACACCAGCAACCCTGAAAAAATTAAATCACATAAACTGCAGTGAATTGACAGCAGAGTTGTTAATATCATTCATCTATGGCAACACAAAGCAACAGTGAGCTACCTTGGGTTGGCCACTTCTCCTAGCATGTTTGAGAAGTTCCTGTGGTAGTCCTCGTCAAAATAGTCCAGCGAGGGGACACCTTGTGCTGCTCTTGTTCCGGATCCAGGCGCTGTCTTCTCTGCCAGCTGACTGAGAGCTGTACTGTGGTCCACATGAGACTTTCCTGGGGGGGCTCTTTGTTCCGTGTCCTCTTGTGAAACACCTCGTCTCCGATTCATCGACCCAAACTGCTGAAATCGGTCAGGCTGGAGGAGGTGCATTGTGTAAAAGAGATCCATCAAAGGAAATTAGGCAACAAATATTGCGAAAACTTCATTTATCTTGAGGTGTTGCTCAAGGCGTTGCTCATCTATGATGGTGATAGTTTGTGTCATGTGAGATGTGTTTATTGTGCTGTTGAGGCATTTCTATAATATTTACTTAACTATATACCATCCAGGTACAGGGCTGATACATCTGCTGGGTGATGGCTGGGTTAAAGTAAGATGGGATCTACGCATTCACATTATGGAATATAGTTATATATAGAGTATAAAAACTCTTTTAGCCTGTTCTTGTCATTGTGTTCTACCTGTTTCTCAGGATCTGTGGCTCCAGTGGTGGCAACCCTCAGCTCAAGTTCCTTCTCCCTAAAGACAAAATGTACAAATCCACCCATCCTTTGTGCTTTCTTGACTCACAAGGATGTGCCAGCTGAAACAGTTCTAGAAAATGATGATTTAGTGAATCAAAACTCACCTGAGCTTGTTTCTCTGCTTTTCAGCAATTTGCTTCAGCAGCTCTTGCTTGTACTGTTCTTTCCTCATCTGAGAGGCTGTCTGATCTTCCACTGCTCCTGCATGACAACAGAGAGCCATCAACAAACAAGTGCTGTCACCTATGATGCTGAGAAAAGTATTTCAAGTGACAAAATCCATCAATAATCCCACAAGTCAATATGTGTCCAAAAGCACCATGCAATAAGAATGGTATTTACCAATCATTAGTCCCGTAGCAAACTCGGCTATATCCTTGCTGGTAGCAGGTCTGGATCTTGCAGCCATCCTCATGCTGTCTGGCAGACTATTAAACACAGATACACAGCCAAAATCAGACACTCCACAAGAGTCATCCAATTACTGACAGTATATAAGTGTAGCTGCACAATGATCAGTTCCCGTTTGACTCAGCTACCCAGCTACCATTTTACATCATACACCGCCTCTTAGTTTGCCTGCAGAACTTTCTGGTCTCAGAGACAGGGGGGTGAAGCCTCATCCTCCAATCAATCCAGCTACTCTTATATAGCTAGTGTGAGTAATTGTTTGCCTGGAGCTGGGCCAAGGCTCACCCTCCATCACCGTTCAACACATTAGCAGCTTACTGAGAGGGGCTAAACTTAATTGCATAACAGTGAACAATGAAAGGCGACGGCATGCACGAGAAGTGTGGAAAGCAATAACTTAAGTACAGCAGCAACGAGCTATACTGGTCTTGTGTTATAGTTACCTTGTGTCGGCTCATTCAATCAGAGAAAATGTATGTGACTTCGTATGAGGATGTTATTGGATTCCACGTACAAACCTCATTGCTACAGTCCACCAGAACAGTACATAGAGATGAATGTTGCTTACTCTGACTCCCAACCCCTTTCATTGTTGTTCTGATCACGAACACCAGGGGCCTCCATCTTCTTTATGCTCTGAGGAGCTCTGCCATAGACACAAACAAGTGAACAGATATTATATTATACCTGTTCTTCTGTCTATGGTATATTATGTAACAGACGAAAATAGCTCAAGATCATACTACAGAAACACGCTACACCTGTTAGCTCTGCGTTCTCTGGTTCTCCTCTCCTCTTTGTACTCTGGCTCTGGAGTGTGTCTGTCTTGTCGCCTCCTGTGTCTGAACTCCAACTCTTCCTCTTTGTCTGTGATTGGCTCCTCCTCAGAGCTATAAGACTCTTTTGGTCCACGAAGTTGCCAACGCCTTCGTCTCCGATGGCCTGGACCCCAAGTCCCTGTGCTTTTTCCATTATCTTCTGCCTCAGTCAGAGAGGCAGCATCTCTCCTGGATGCAGGGCGCTCCCTGGGAGGAGGGTGTGTGTTTCTGCACGGACAAAATCAGACATTCCACAAGAGCCCTCCAATTTCTGACAGTGTTTACGGGTAAGAACACAACAATCTGTTACAGTCTGAGTCACACCCAGCTTCCATTTTACATCATAAGCTGCCTCATAGTTTGCCTGCAGAGCTTTTGGTCTCAGAGATAGGGGGGGTGAAGCCTCATTCTCCAATCAATCCAGCTACTCTGGTAGAGCTGGGGTGAGTAATTGTTTGCCTGGAGCTGGGCCAAGGCTCACCCACCATCACCGTTCCACACGTTAACAGCTTATTGAGTGTGGCTCAACTTTATGGCATAAACGGCAACAATGAAAGGCAACGGCATGCATTAGAAGTGCTGGAAAGCAATAACTGAATATAGCAGAAATGATCTATACAGATCTTGTGTTGCAATTACCATGTGTTGGCTCATTAAATCAGATTATTGTAATGATTGAGAAAATGTATGTGACTTTCCAAGAGGACGTTATTGGCTGTCAAGCTCCGCATGTGAATACTTCTGCTAACTACGATGATTCTGTTTCAGCATTACAAACCTCATTGCTGCAGTCCACCAGAACAGTACATAGAAATTAATCTTGCTTACTCTGACTCCCAACCCCTTTCATTGTTGTTCTGATCACGAACACCAGGGGCCTCCATCTTCTTTATGCTCTGAGGAGCTCTGCCATAGACACAAACAAGTGAACAGATATTACATCATCATATCTACTCTTCTGTCTATGGTATATTATGTAACAGACGAAAATAGCTCAAGATCATACTACAGAAACAAGCTACACCTGTTAGCTCTGCGTTCTCTGGTTCTCCTCTCCTCTTTGTACTCTGGCTCTGGAGTGTGTCTGTTTTGTCGCCTCCTGTGTCTGAACTCCAACTCTTCCTCTTTGTCTGTGATTGGCTCCTCCTCAGAGCTATAAGGCTTGTTTGGTCCACGAAGTTGCCAACGCCTTCGTCTCCGATGGCCTGGACCCCAAGTCCCTGTGCTTTTTCCATTATCTTCTGCCTCAGTCAGAGAGGCAGCATCTCTCCTGGATGCACGGCGCTCCCTGGGAGGAGGGTGTGTGTTTCTATTGATGTGGAGGATGGGCATGGGAGAAGCTGGAGAAGAACTGTACACAGCATCTGAAGCTTGAACCTGTCCGGGCTGAAAAAACAATGGAATATGAGAAGCATTTATTTTATACATTACAAAAAAAAGAGGAAGCAGAATTGAATAACTTTCAATGTATGTATTTATTATTCACATTACCTTTAAAGAGACAGGAGGTGTTCCCCTCTTAAACCTTTCGATTTGATCTTTTTCTTGTAGGAAGAGGTGGTATTCTTTTTTTCTCTCCTCTCTTAGTTTTTCCTGTGAGAGAAACAAAGTCATGTGTCTGAAGCAGCCATCTCATTCAGACCGGGCACCAGCTACATATTTCTGACTTATTAATAATGATATTATTTGTAACCGCCTCCCTTTTTTCTAGTTTCATTCATTCATTTCTCTGTTGATGTCTAATTCACAATAAGAAAATTACCTAAAACAGTCTCAAGTCCCACATATAACAATGAAACTAAAAATATACAGTCACTCATCTTTTGAATAGAAGACACCTCACTGTACCTTTCCTTTATCACAGTCACCTCTCAGTTTACCTTAACTGCTTAAAGGCAACAGGAGTTCTTCTGACTTAATAAAGACATTCATTTGGTAGATGCTTTGTCCAGGTTTCAAGTTCAGTTTCTCTCAAAAAATGCCGGGGATCGACCTACAAACCCTACATTTAATGGCTTATACAGGGTTTGTCCCCTGATGTGAAGTCCTCCCACTGTCTTGGAGGCTGTCCTAGCCAACATCAGCAGGCAGTGGGCTGACAAGGCAGGGTCGTCAGCTTGATTAAGCTCACCTGGGTCTTCCAGGCTATAAAAGCTCGTCCACATAGTTATTGTCTCTGTCCCTTGCTACAGCAGACATCCACCATGCATGATTGGTGGTTGGTTTTGCACCTTTAACACCTCCACAGCACACTTGACACACATGCATGGACTTCTTTCATTTGCCTACATTGCTGATCTACACACTTCAGTGTTCAGTTGAGTAAACCTTAGTTTAACAAATTAGGTTTGGTTTCAAGTATAGCCTTGCGTGGACTCCCTTTTTGTCACATTCCCTGAGCCAGTTTGTGAATAGTGATACAGTGTCGCATTATGTATCAAGCTAAGATAGGCCTGAATGTCAATGAGCAAAGCTGTTCCCTCTTCATCACTGCATTATCGGAGACTTACCTAAAGCATTTCACGATACTGTAAATTGTTCATAAATGTAACGATCCAGGTGGGACCAAAACGTACAATCTTCAGCTCTGCAGGCTGATGCCTTATACATTAGGCCACTCGGCATAAGCTTTAACAAGTCGGCAAGCACTTGTAATCAAAAGCAATTGCCATGAGACACAAAGCACTGTACAATGTACAATTCACTGCACTGCAGTATAATTATATTTGTGTTGTTGTGAGCAATTTATGTCACGCCAATGAGTAAAGTACCACTTTGATGATCATGGAGTGTTACCTGTTTCCTGCTATGGAAATATATATACACGCAAAAATGTTTTCTCATTAAAGTACCCACCCAAGCACACAGAAACACACCTGAACCGATATCTTCTCCTCAATAGGTAAGGAGAGACCCTGGGGTTGTGTTGGACGTTCACTAGTTTTCAGATCCTTTATCTGGAGGAAGAACATGGAAACATAGAACAGGATGGTTACTCAGCAAAATGCAGAGGCAACATAATGAAACATGTCTTTTCACTATGAAATGATTCCATCATCAGACCTTGGCAGCATGATGTTTGTAGTCCAGTTGAAGCTCCTGCTGAAGTTTCTTCTTCTTCTTTTCATAGTCATTTCCTAGCAGCAAACTTAAACATAAACCTGGAAAGTATCAAATAAACAACACATAAAGTGTGTGACATAAACCTATCCTCAAAGAGTGTAATCTGCTCAGTATCAGAAACTTGCACAATACCTCTGTCTGGATTTGGCGATGTTCTGTGTGCTGCTGATGCTGGAGGCATATCCACACCTTGTTGGTTGATTTGCATGTATCACACTTGAGTGAAAGCTATAGCTAACGTTATATCTTTGGGTGTTTCCTCTTCATGCTGCTGGAAAAACGTCCCATCTTTCGTCCATTTATTAACGTTACAACAAAGCTCAACTACAAAACTCCGCGCTGGCTATAGAAGTCATACATAATACTATGATATACAAGTATTTTTCATATTCATATCATTTGCCTTCATAGACCGAGAAGGGACAACTGCTCTCTTGGCTCGACTGTCAACAAGGCGCAAAGTATCATATTGTTGCTGTAGGCAACCATGATGCACACGGTTCTCCTAGAAGAGGATAATTGACCTAGCTAACACGAAATGCCACAGAAAACATATCTATAACCCATCAAATGCTATCAGTTCTTTATTTTGTAGTATTGGCTTTTGGTGTCATTGGCATCTTTGGTATTTGACGTCGGTTCGTCAAATACCTTATGCTTAACTTTATGTACAGTGTCAAAGAGCTGAAAGCAGAAACCTTCATCAGAGAATCTGCTTTTCTGAAAAGCGCCGCTAGATGTCAGTGAGTCCTCGACAGTTAACTAGTCTTCCCTGGACTAAACCATGTATTCTGGCAGAGGGGTGATATTACTTTAATATGAGTGATATATAAAGTTAAATCACTTCAGTTGAAATGTTATTGTTGTATATGTAGTTCAATTTTAATGTTACAAAATATGGTGTATCATACAATCATATTAACTTCATAATTGTGTAACATTATGACAAACGTCCTCGCGATCACACTTTGGTATATTGGTATCATTCACTGTCATGGCTTCCTGACCAAGTGGACATTTAGCCCTGTTACGGGATCAAACTATTGGAGAAATATAACATTTATCTGATAACCTGAGCAGAAATAGGGGTTTTAAGAATAGATTTGTCTTTTGCTGAGATAATTCGTCATGGCGGGGACCAGCACGGCTCAGAAAACATGGGAGCTATCTAACAGCATGCAGGAAGTTCAGAGCATAGACGAAATCTACAAATATGACAAAAAGCAACAACAAGAAATCCTCGCTGCTAAGCCATGGACAAAAGAGTAAGTGCAAAACAGTAATGTGAGATCCAGTCCAAGTGATTCTTGAGCTAAATGTTCGATGTCGTATGTTGTTTACTGTTAAAAGAACCCCCTTGCTAGCTACGAGCTAGCATTGGCTTATTTGTCAACAGCGATAGCTAGTGTTAACTGTGTGGGGTGTTTACATGTGTTTACTCCTTAGTATCATCCCTAATCTATACCTGATAGTGAACATGTGTCTTTTCTTTGACCCGTAGTCATCACTATTTCAAGTACTGCAAGATCTCAGCCCTGGCCCTGTTGAAGATGGTGATGCACGCCAGGTCCGGGGGAAACCTGGAGGTGATGGGCCTCATGCTGGGGAAGGTGGACGGTGAAACCATGATCATCATGGACAGCTTTGCCCTGCCCGTGGAGGGCACGGAGACTCGAGTCAACGCCCAGGCTGCGGCGTATGAATACATGGCCGCCTACATTGAAAACGCCAAACAGGTCGGTACACTGACTTTCATTATAGGGCATTACAAGTGGCTTTCATTACAGATTTGGTGATTGAGAGAGGAGAGATCAAAGTCTGCATGCACACTGTTCAGTTACATCATTTAGATTTATAGTTCATCACTTTATGTGGTTGCATTTGATTGCAACCATGTTTTTAATTTCAAGACTTGGGCACATTTCATTCAGTTGTTCAGGAAATACTTTTATGTTTTTAAATGTGGACTACTCATACACCCACGTGAGTTTTGAAGCTGATACCCAGATGTGATTGACGCTATATATCAGATTATATACTTTTGTCTACAGTTACCACTATGGTAGCTATTGGTTTATTATCCTTAGTTGTATTACACTATTAAAGGCACTGTTACAAAGTAACAAACAGGAATACTGTATAGTAATGTAGGGATTTGTTTGAAAAGATACCTTGATCTGTGTTAGTTATCAATATTTCAATATGAAATTGTATATCTCGTGAAAGTAGAATGTTATCCTTATCCCACCACTATCTCCCCTGCATTATCCTATACTGTTGTTTAAAAGTACACTATTAACTCTCTTTCTGTCAGTAATGATACTTTTTAAACTACATTTTCACGCTTTCTTTATTTCCTCCATTGTCTGTGCTGTTCTTGTATAATGGTGCATTTCACACCTTGAATAGTAATAACCGACATCTATCTCCATTCCCTCAGGTTGGCCGGCTAGAGAATGCGATTGGCTGGTACCACAGTCACCCTGGCTACGGCTGCTGGCTGTCTGGCATAGATGTCAGCACTCAGATGCTCAACCAGCAGTTTCAGGAGCCTTTTGTGGCCGTTGTGGTGAGACTCCGGAAATAGTAATCATTTTTTTAAAATGTCAAGCCAAACGCTTTGTTCAGTGTGATTTCTAATTGCACCACACAAGGTATTCAGGGAAGTAACAAAAACAAGTTAATGTACGCGTAACAGAGAAAGGGGGGGGGTTGATGTATTGGTTGTAGGCTTTCTATGTAGTACTGATGACTATTATGCTATTTCAACCATATATGCCTTTTACACTTCATTTGGTTTAGCAGTGCTTAAATGCCATGGGCGTCATATAATTAAGTGTGCGTTTTCAGCTCACCGACAGCCTCGGTAAAAGGCTCCTGGTGGCCGGATTTGAGTGGTCCCTGGAGGTTTGTGTGACCCCTGACTATGTTTTCCTGTTCTACTGTATCTTGCTTCCTACAGATCGACCCCACTCGGACTATTTCAGCAGGGAAAGTCAACCTTGGCGCCTTCAGAACCTACCCAAAGGTAAAGCAAAGACTGCGTACAGCAGTAACAAAACAATTTGCTATTGTTGATTCATTTGCATGTGTGTTTTTGCTCATGTTTGTATATAAAGTAGAATTCATGATCTTGTAATTGCCTTTGTGTTGCATTACTTGATTCCTTATTTGTGTAATAATAAGCTGGTTATGGTCCAGAAAAGCTTTTTTAGTTTGTTGGTAATTCTCAGCATTTCCTCTTTGGATCTTCAGGGCTACAAACCTCCTGATGAGGGACCCTCGGAATACCAAACAATCCCCTTGAACAAGATTGAAGACTTTGGTGTTCACTGTAAACAGTGAGTATTGATGTATATCACAGTGTTGTCACCATATTTAAGATAAAAGTACTTCTAACATCCTGTAAATTCTATTTTTTTATTTCTAAATTGATTGCAGTATTTGTGTATGGTGTACTCTTTCCTATATGACTGTGTATTGTACATGGCTCATGTTTTTGCTTTGTGTTTTTTAGGTATTACGCCTTGGAGGTAACTTACTTTAAGTCCTCCCTTGACAGAAAGCTTCTGGAACTCCTTTGGAACAAATATTGGGTCAATACTTTAAGTTCCTCAAGTCTCCTCACGGTATGTAGACGACTTCAAAAAACTAAATGACTGCTAATTGTTTGACATTGTGATTTATGTTTGATTATTACACTATAGCTCATTGAGACGTTCGGTCACCCGCTTGTGATGTCATGATTTATTGCCGCTTAGTAGCTAGGAGTGGCTGTTTATTGATTTTAGTAATGCGCTTAATTTACACTTTTAAACATGGGAGATAAATATTGAAGTTGGACCCTACTCCGGTGATACAGATGCTGTCGTGGTTCACCCCCC